AAAGAGGAAACAAAACTCAACAGAAGGTAAAAATAAGTGATAGCGATTGACTTCCACAGTTCTTTCTTTGGATGCGGACAGCATTTTCCACCCCGAGACCTCTGGAGATGTCTTAGATCCTCGTAATGCTGGGAAGGGTTCAGTTTAACAATCTTAGTCATCGCAAAATGTGGCTGTTATTGTGTACAAAGTCCTCTTGGTTCTGCTCACTTCACTCAGCATCAGACCATACAAGTCTTTCCAGGTTTTTCTGAAGTCAGCCTGTTCATCATTTCTTATAGCACAATAGCATTCCATTACATTCATATACCACAACTTGCTCAGCCATTCCTCAATTGATAGGCATTCTCTCAATTCCCAATTCTTTGCCACCACAAAAAGAGCTGCTATGAATATTTTTGTACATGTGGGTCCTTTTCCCATTTGTTTGATCTCTTTGGGATATAGCCCTAGAAGTGCTATTGCTGGGTCAAAGGGTATGCACATGTTTGTAGCCCTTTGGGCATAGTTCCAAATTGTTCTCCAAAATGGTTGGATCATTTCACAACTCCACCAACAATGTATTAGCATTCCAATTTTCCCACATCTTCTCCAACATTTATGATTTTCCTGTTTTGTCATGTTGGCCAATCTGATAGGTGTAATGTGGTACCTCAGAGTTGTTTTGATTTGCATTTCTCTAATCAATAACGATTTAGAGCATTTTTTTATGTGACTATAGATGGCTTTAATTTCTTCATCTGAGAACTGCCTGTTCATATCCTTTGACCATTTATCAATTGGGGAATGGCTTGTGTTCTTATAAATTTGTCTTATTTTAGAAATGAGGCCTTTAGCAGAGAGACTGGTTGTAAAAATTCTTTCTCAATTTTCTACCTTCCTTCTAATCTTAGTTGCAACTTTATGTTTATTTTTTACTGACTTATCTATGTGTATGTTATTTCTCCCAGGTAGAATGTAAGCTGCTAGAGGTCAGGGACTCTGTGTGTGTGTGTGTGTGTGTGTGTGTGTGTGTGTGTTTATATCCCCAGTGCTTAGCACAGTAAGCATTTCATATGCTTGTTTGAATGAATGAATGTATAAATAAATGAGTGAATGAACTAACAAATGATCTCTCTCCAAACTTGGACTTGATATATGCAAGTCCAGTCCTCCTTTCTTCTCTGGAGGAAGAGAAATTTGATGTCTCTGCTGGCCTGCGTGACTCCTTCAGGCTCATGACAAATATGGCAGCCACCAGAGCAGGTATTCCCACATCCTACTCCATACTTCTGAAACCCGGACAAAGACTCTGAGGCTGGCAAGCAGGAGAGAGTAGAAAATGAGCAGGGCTGAGAGAAGACTGAGCATGAACCTCTTATTTCATTTGCTCAAATTCTGCCTTCACCAATCCTCCCTCTCCCTTTCTGATCCAGTCTCAGAGGGTGAGACCCTTCCCTTTCCAAGTTAAACTCTCCCTTGCGCCAACTCCCTCCCTCTTCGGATGCTTGTCCCATCACTTATGCCTCTCTCTCTTTTCTATTTACCCACTGCCTACAAACAAGGTCACATCTCCCTTATCCTAACAAACAAAAACAAAACACCAACCCTTCCTTTTAACCCTGTAATCCCCCCAAGCTTTCTTGCTGGCTGTAGGGTCCTTTTCACTGCCAAACTCCTGGAGATAATAATCAACACTCATTTCTTTACCTCCACATCACCCCCTCCCTCCCTAACCCCTTGCAATCTGATTTCTGACTCCATTCCTTGACTGAATAGCTCAGTTGAAAATGCTGAATTGCTTAACTTTTTTATCAGTGAAGCCATCTTCCCTCACCTTTCTGCAGCTTGAGATTCTGCTGATGAGGCCCAGTGGTTCTGGATATTCTCCCCTCTCTTGGCTTCCACAATCCTCTGTCTCTGTCTCTCTCTGTATCTCTATATCTCTCTCTGTCTCTGTCTCTGTCTCTGTCCCTCTCTCTCGCTCTCTCTCTGTCCTGTCTCTGTCTCTCTCTCTGTCCCTCTCTCTCTCTCTCTCTCTCTCTCTCTCTCTCTCTCTCTCTCTCACTCACTTTTTCTCAGTCTCCTTTGTTGGATCTCCATTCATCTCCCACTATCTAAGCCGCACTGTCTTTTAAGGCTCTGTCCTGAGTCATCTCCTCTCTCCACATCCTCATCCATGGTGACATCATCATTTCCTTTGGATTCAATTCTCCTCTCCATTCAAAGGCCTCCCAAACCGATGTCTCTAGATTTAATCTTTTCTCTCAGCTCCAGGGTCTCACCTCCAACTGCCTATTGGACATCCTCACCCAGAAATCCTACCTCCACCTCAAACACAACACATCAAAGGACCAAATTAATCATATTCCCCTAACCCTACACCTCCTTCCAACCTTTTTATTTCCATTGAGGCTACCAGTATTTTTCCAGTCACTTAGGTTCACAATCTCAGCATCCTTTTTGACCTGACACTTTTCCTTTGAGGCATCTAAGTGGCTCAGTGGATAGAGCCCTGGGCCTGAAATCAGGAACACCTGGGTACTCAGCTGCGTGAGCACAGGGAAGTCACCTAACTTTCATCTGCCTCAGTTTCCTCCACCATAAAATGGAAATCATCATAGTGCTTCTTTCTTTCCTTCCTTCCTTCCCTCACCCTTGGCATCCAATCAGGTGCCAACTCTTACTGATTTTCTTCTCTCTGCCGATATAACCATTTCCTTAGTTAAAACTCTAATCACCTCTCACCAGGACTGTGGTAATAGCCTCCTTAATGGTCTCCGTGCTTCTAGCATCTCCCCTTCCTAGCCATGCTTCACACAGCTGCCAAACTAATCTTCCTAAAGGTCAGTTCTTATGGTGTGACTCCTCTGCTCAAAGACTCTCCATGGCTCCCCAGTGCCTTGAGGGTAAAATAAAAAATATCCCTTTAGCCTGTCATTGTGGGCCTTTCATAATTTGGGTCCAACCTACCTTTCCAGTCTTCTTCCACATTAGTGTTCTTCATGAATTCTATGTTCCCTGCACGGATTGGATTAATGGCTATTGCATGAACTCATCATTCCTCTTCCTTCTTTCATGCATTTGCACAGGCTACCATCATGCCTGGAGGATGCTCTCTCCTCATCATTACCTCTCAGAATCCTTTTTACTTCAGAGTTCATCTCACATGGCATCTCTTTCATAATAAGCCATCCCTAGTCCCCACCCCTTCACTTTAGTGAAAATGTCCTCTCCCGGGCAGCTAGGTGGTGCAGTGGATAGAGCACCAGCCCTGAAGTCAAGAGGACCTGAGTTCAAATTCGGCCTCAGACACCTGACACTTACTAGCAGTGTGACTCAGACACCTGACACTTACTAGCAATGTGACCCTGGGCAAGTCACTTAACCCCAATTGCCTAAAAAAAAAAAAAAGAGAAAGAAAAGAAAATTTAAAAAAAAAGAAAATGTCCTCTGCCTCTTCATTTTTCCTGAAGCCTTTTACTTGGCTTTCTCTTTTCCCTCTGCCAGATGATATCCTGTATTATGCTTGTCCAGACACGTGTCATCCTTCCCACTCCCAATAAAAATGTAAGCTCCCTGAGGGAAGGGACTATACCTATTTTCATCTATATATCCCCAGTGCCCAACAAAGTGACTTATATTTGTAGTTCACTCAGGATGGAAGGAAACAAGCATGTATTAAGCACCTACTGTATGCCAAGCACATTACCAAAAAATGATCTCCTTGATCCTGGGAGGTAGGTGCCATTATTATCCTCATTTTACAGTTGAGAAAACTGAGGCAGGCAGAGATTAAGTGACTTGCCCATAGTCACATAGCTAGAAAATGTCTGAGGTCAAATTTGAACTCAGGTCTTCCTAAGCTAAACACTGTAGTCACTATACCACCTCGCTGCCTTAATATATGTGTTGGATTAAAGTGAGAGTTCGAGTAGAGGAATAATCAGGAATTGGTCTGATAATAACCACTCCTCAACTAGTTTCTGGTCCTTCCTGTACTATTAACTTGCTGCGTGACCTTGGGTAAATCATTTCCAGAAGTCTTCTATCCTCCTCTGCCAAAAGAGAGAGTTGGGCTAGCAGATAGATAGTCTCTTAAGATTCCTTCCAGTTCTGACATTTCATGCTCATAGGATCCCTCTCATTTTATTGGTGAGGATCACAGTGGCCAAGTGACTTGTCCAAGGTCATGCAGGTATGAAGTGATCTAGGTCTGTGAGTCAGAGCAGAGAGAAATCATTTCAGCCAAAAAGAAAATCCCTCTGCTCTCTTCACTCTTCCCCCCACCTCCCATCTCCGTGGTTCAACGCTTGTACTAAGTATCTTAGAATGGCCACAGAGTGGAAGGGTAGTGGGAGTTTTAATAAGACAAGTTAGCCCTGGGGAATGTTCATGCTTCAAGAATTGAGCCAGTCATAGAGAAAGCTTTAATGCAATTTTAATGAAGCCCTTTCCCGTTACATATGGAAAGCAACTATACACGGCCCAGAAGCCTGGCCCACTCAGCCTTTTTCCCTCCACCCAGGCCCCACCTCACCTGGGCTCCCCAAACCCAGCCCACCTCTCAGGTTCCTTCAGAGGGGCCAGCACCCAGGCCTCTAGAACCTCCATCAGAAGCAGTAGCCAATAGGGAAGTGATTCTGGAGGGGGGAGGGGTATGATTCTGGTCCAGAACCTTCCAGGACCCACGACCATTGCAGTCATGGTGAGGACATGGTCCCATGTCTCAAGCAGCAAGACAGATGCATTTCAGGGCTGAGCTGGCCGTTGGGTGACTCATTCACTACAGTTTGCATTGAAAGCTGTTTGACCAAATTAACCACTATAGGACTGAACTGACTCATCCAGTTACTGACAAAGTCTCCCAAAGTATTCAACTAGGAGGCAGCATGGTGGACCAAACACTGAATTTAGAGTCAAAGGATCCGGGTCAGAACACCAGCTCTGCCATTTACTATCTGGGCAACTTAGGGCATGCCACTTTCCTTTTCTGGGCCCGAGACTCCTCATCTGTAAAAACAGAGGGTTTGGACCAGATGGTATGAATGGTCCCCTCTAACATCGGCCAAGACCGCTCCTCCTACTGGTGGTTATCAATAACAGGCCCTGAAAGGGTGAAAGAGACCAGCGTTCTACTGGGGTTGGTAGAAAAACAAACACATCTGGACGGAAGCCGGACAGTAACTAGGGGCCATTTAAAGCATAAAGAAGCATCTGTAGCAACTTGGCCAAGGGGAAGAGGGATCGATCGCAGCCTCTCACACGGCCGAGTAAGGGGGCGGGGCCAGTTCCTTGGAAGGCATCGCCATGGCTTCCTCGTAGGTCGGCAGGAGCACCTAGAAGGAAGAGATGAGTCAGGCGGAAGATAAATGCAAGGAAACTGGATCATTCTGGGCTCTGCTCTCCAGCTGGGGCCCAGTTCCTGAAATTACTAGAGAATCCCACAACCTCAAGGTGGGAAAGGACTCCAGAGAGCCCATACGTCATCAGAAGTCTTCTCTCCAACACCAGCCTCCCCCCAAAAGCCATCATCCGGCCTCTGCTTGAAGACCTCAACTCACAAGGAACTCATTACCTTTCAAGGAAGTCCGTGGCATTGGCAGTCAGTCAACAGGCATTGCTTAAAGTGCCTGCTCCATACCCATGACATTTATGTTGTGCCCTGCTGTAAGTTCCTCCTATTTCTACCCTCTAGGGCCAGGCAGAACAAACCTAATCCCCTTGCCATGAAGATAGCCCTTTAACTGCTTGGAGACCCCAGTCTTGTCTTTTCTCTAGTCTTCTCTTTTCCAAGAGAAAAACCCCTCACTTCCTAAAACCAATACACATTTAACCTGTCCTACTGTGGTTGTTCAATCGTTTAAGTTATGTCCGACTCTTTGTGACCCAATTTGCGGTTTTCCTGGCAGAGATACTAGAATGGCTTGTCATTTCCTTCTCCAGCTCATTTTACAGATGAGGAAACCTAAGCGGAAAAACAGGGCTAGTGACTTGCCCAGGGTCACACAGCTAATAAGTGCCTGGGTCTGGATTTGGACTCAGGTCTTCCTGACTGCTGGGCCCATGCTCTACAAGCTATGGTGCCACCTAGCCCTCCAAAATTGTCTGATAGTCCTTCATTATCTTGCCCTCTTTCTTCTGAATATCTACCCTGTCAAAAATCTGTCCTAAAATGTGGTGGCCAGAACTAAAAGTACTCCAGAAGTGGTCTGACAAGAGCAGAAGAGAGATGACTAGCAACTACTTGCTTCTATATTGGGGCCACCTGAATTTAATTTACTCTTTCAGCTGCTACGTCCTGGCTGACTCATATCAAACTCTTGCACTTCACCAAAAAAAAAAAAAAGAAAACCCCATGAATTGCTTTCTAGTCACTTCCACCCCTCAGAAATTCATTATTAGTGCACCTGAATTTGTTTTTTTCCTTTGCTAGAAATTTCTTTCTTCTATTGGTCTGAAATCTGCCCCACCCCAACATCTCCCCATTGCTCCTAGGTCTGCCCTCTCTGAGGCCAAGGAAAATAAGTTTAATCCCATATACATGTGTGTGTATGTATATGTATATATATGCAGTATATTAAAAGCAATAATAATAATTTAAGTATAGAATCTTGCACTCATCCCCCTTAAATTCCATTTAATCAGCTTTGCCCCAAACATTCCAACCTGTTGAAATCTGGGAGTGAATATACAGGCTATTGCTTAAATCTTTACGTCAACAGCATATTGAATAACCAGGTCAACCATTCATCCAAGTAATTGATTTTCACAATTGAAAACAGGACCGAGGAAGTCATTATTAAGTAAGGATCCTCAGTTGTTTAGCCTGGTGTCCACATTAGACAGTATGGTATGGTGGGAAATCATTGGCCTGAGAGGCAGACTTCCTTCTAGCTCTGTGATCTATGAATTTGTAAATGTTGATTTCAAGTATTTGAAGGACAAACCAGGAAACAATTGATGGAACCTCCAGAGGGGAAGATTTAAACAAGAGGTCAGGAAAATCTTCTTCACAATTAGAAGTGTCCAGTTATATGGGGCAGTGGAGAAAGCATGGACCTAGAGTCAGGAAGCTGTTTGGTCATTTTTCAGTTGTGTAAGACTCTTTGTGACCCCATTTGGGGTTTTCTTGGCAAAGGTACTAAAGCAGTTTGCTATTTCCTTTTCCAGCTCATTTTACAGATGAAGAAACTGAGGCAAACAGGGTGAAATGACTTGCCCAGGATCATACAGGTAGTAACTGTTTGAGGTCAAATTTGAATTCAGGTCTTCCTGACTCCAGGCCCACTGTTCTAGCCACTAAGTCACTTGACTGCCCCATAGGGAAGAGGACACTAAAAATGTAGGTGGGGCCAGTGCTTTTGGGGAGACAGATGGAAACACTGGTTGAATCTTATTTTAAGACTAACTTCAGGGGCAGTTAGATGGCACAGTGGATAAAGCACTGCCCCTGGAGTCAGGTGGACCTGAGTTCAAATCTGGCCTCAGACAATAGCTGTATGACTCTGGGCAAATCTCTTAATCCTGATTAAAAAAAAGATTAACTTCAGCTTTCCAGCACTCCCTTTCTCCCTTCCCCCAAGGTTCCGGGAGTTCAAATTTAGAAGAGGTAGAACTAGGCATTTCCATGCCCAGAATAAGCAGTACTAACCATGCCCTCAATTCAGTTGAAGTAGGAGAGGGAGAAGAGACTGAGGCCACTGGGGTGAGGGAGGTAGAGAGGGGGAGACCCGGCTTGGGAGGAGCTTAATTAGCCAGCAGTCACTGAGAGGAAGAAACAGATACCTGGTAGCAACCCATTTTAACTCATTTTTCTTACTAATTAGGTTCTAATTATCACATTTTTTTCTTACCTTGTTATAGGTTTGAAAGTATTAACACACCCCTGTAAATGTCTCCACCCTAAGGCAAAACCCTCATTGGCCACCCTCATTACAGCTTAAGCTAAGTGCTCACCTTCTGGAAGATCTTGGCATTGACTTTGTCCTCAACCCTATTTAGGGATTTTATGTACTTGTAGCATCTCCAAACACACTTGAACATGTAGACCTGAAAAAAATTGACTGGAGTTCAGAGTATGAATCACAAAACCCCACATCCTTCTGGGGGTGGGAGGGAGAAGGAACACATGCAGTCTCTAATACCTCGGTGTAATTGATTTTATTAGATCAATACTGTTCTAAATAGAAGAGACCCAGAATACTATAGGAGTCCTTGGCTCCCTGCTATGGTGGGAGATGGAGGGAGGAAAGAAAGTCAGAAGGAGAGGTAGAGCCAAAGAGTGCCAATGATAAATTTTGCCAGTTTCAGTGATTTATCATGCACTATACTTGGGCCCTACCAGTCCAGAGCCCTGAGACTCAGAGTTCTATAACGTGTACCCTAAGCAGTTGTGGCGGGGAGGGAGAGGCAAGGCAAAGGAGGACGTTACATACCTTCAAGATAAGGACGATGATGAATGCTATGGAGAATCCAATCATCAGCTTGACAAATTGATCTTGAGTTATGCCTTCTTGACTTGGGAGATAATTCTGCAATTGTCACAGGGACAGATGTCATGAACTGTTATTTTAGGGAACCATCTGACAACCCGAACTGAGCTACCATCACTTATAACCCAGGATCTTCACCAATCCTAAGCACCTTAGGGGTGGATGTCTATTTCATCCACATCGTAAGTAACTCAGGCCAAGGTTAACACTAAGATTCTCCAGCGATCACACTCACCATATGGTTCATGGACTTAAAGTTGAGGTAGGTAGGGACCTCCATATAGGAGCTGCAAAGGGTCAGGATGCTGAGGCAGAAATCTAGCAACTGCAGAGCCATGAGGGGGACTTTGAAGGGTGTTTTCTGGAGAAGGAAGGAAGAAAAGAAAGGCATGTGAGATGACATTACTTGACAGACTAATCCATGACCAGGAATGAACTAGAGGCAAGTGGTAGAAACTCAACAAATGCATGTTGAAATGATTCGAAGATGAGTCAGAAAGGTACTTAACTGTACTTAAGTATTGTATTTCTTTGAATCTTGTTCAACTTTCACATTCATTTAAACACAGTGATAAGATGTTATGCTTTGCTGATTTTTTTAAATAAAGAATTGTTTTTCAGAGAAAAATCATAACTAATTGGGAAAACATGCTACATTCCTTGTTTCTCCTGTCTATGGGAAGGCTACCCTTTTGAATTTTGAGGCCAATGGAGCAGTTAAATAGGATGTTGGACTTGGAATCAGGAAGTCCTAAGCTCAACTCTTACCTCAGACACTTAGTAGCATTCTGATCCTGTGTCACTTGACCTCCATTTCCCTTAGTTTCATCATCTGTAAAATGGGCATGGAGGCAGCTAACTGGCTCAGTAGAGAGAATGTTGGGCCTGGAGCCAGGAAAACCTGACTTCAATCAAATCCAGTCTCACTTACTAACTGTGTGTCCTTGGGCAAGTCACTTAACTTCTGTTTGCCTCAATCCACTGGAGAAGAAAATGGCAAACTAGTGCAGTATCTTGCCAAGAAACCCCCGTGGACAGTATGTGGTGTGCCCATGAGGTCAAGAAGAGCAGGACTTGACTGCATAAGTGAACTACAACAAAAATGGATATCCCAGTAGTCCCTGCTTCTTAGGGTTGTTGTGAGGATCAAATGAGATAATATTTATAATGCGCTTTACCAGCCTGAAAACACTATGTAAATGCTAGCCATGGTCACTATTGCTCGCGCACTGCTATCTGTCAGACAGTAGTGTCGGCTTCGTTTTACTAACCTACACCTGAAAAACAGTAACAAAGCCTGGGATGCAGCATCACAAGCCTGTAATCCCTACCATGAGGCAGTCTCTTCCAGCTCTGCCTCCCCAGGTCTTCTCTTCTGGGGGGCTAACAATCCCCAGGTCCTTCACCAGATCCTCAGGGGACCTAGGCTTCCAGGGCTCTCTTAATTTTGATCACTCTTCTCTGGATGTGACGTGGTTGGTCAATGTTGTTCTAAATAGTGATAGTGAACATTTAGATATCGCCTACTACGTGCCAGGCACTGTGCGAGACACTCTCTACATATTACCTCATTTGATCTTTACAACAACCCTGGGAAGATGGTACTATTATTATCCCCATCTTACAGATGAGGAAACTGAGACAGACAAAGGTTAAGCAGCTGCCCAGGATCACACAGCTAGTAAGTCTCTGAGGCCAAATTTGAACTCAGGTCTTCCTAACTCCAGGCCCCACACTCGGTGCACTATGGCGCCCTCTACCTGCCCCATGTCCTCCAAATGTCCTTGGTGCCTAGGACTGAATCCAATACACACCAGATGTGGTCAACATTGCACCTCTACCATTGTTCCATGAGATCACATTAGCTTTTAGGGCTTCCATATCACACTGTTGACTCATGAAGAGGTTATAACCAACTAAAACCCCAGGTCTTATGACTATAGTTTAACCACACACCACTTCCCCCCTTCCCACCCCTCCAATCCTATACTCGTACAGCTGATATTTTTTCTTAACCCAAATGTCAAGCTTCACATCTATCCCTATTAAATTTCCTGTGATTAGAAGCAGCCCATCATTCTGGCCTGCCAAGGTCTTTTTGCATCCTGATTCTGTTATCTAACATGTTAGCCATCCCTCCTGGCTTTGGGCCATCCAAAGATCTGACGAACAGACCATCAGTGCCTTTATCAAAGAGATGGTTGAAAATGTTGAACAGAAAAGAGCTGAGGCATGATGGATCCCTGCTTGCCTCAATGCCATGCTCCACCTGACTGCTTAATTAAGGCATTTTTAAAGAAGGTTTAGAAGAACAAGGATTGAAACAAAAAGGGTATAAGCTTTATAATCTACTGGGACTATCTCACATTATGATTCTGTGGTCTGACATCCTCTGTTCTAGTGTTCTGTGGCCTGAAGCTTAAACCCTTCACAATCTAACCCTCTAAGAGTCTATGAAAATGGGTTTTCACAGTGGCCTTCAATTAGGCAGAAAATTCAGATCGCCAGGACAATTGTTTCCCCCAAAGACTCTGATAGTTCAAAATATCTGAAATTTAAGAGAGGTGGGCTTATATCCCCCTAGGGTTTCTCTCTTCTTCTGATCCACTGCCCACACCAACTTTTCAGGAAGATTCTAATTCAATCACTTGTCAGTGACGGGTGTGCTAGCCACTTTGCTCATCAACCTCGCCTCCTCCATCTGACTGCATCCTACCTGCCCCGCTATAGGAAGTACACATAGACTGTCCTCTGTTTTCTTTGTTCAACCAGGATCCCCATCCACATAGAGGTCCTAGCTCTATAATTTGCCCAGCACTGAGTTTAGGTAAGGCATTTGTGCATCCTCAGGGAAAAATTTGAAAATTGCATGTCTGCCCTCAGCCTGATGGTCCCTTGAGGGTCTGAGCCTCTGTGTAATACCTGAGATTTAATGTATCACAAAATAAATTCCTATGAACCTTGGAGAATGGACTTTTCTGGCATTAAAAAGTATGCATTTGCATTTCCCTCTTTTTGTTGGAAAGGTGGGGGTCTATAGATGTGGAATGTTACATATACTGTCCCATTAAATCAATGTGTTAGTTGACTTTTGTTCAAATTTTTTCCCCTTTGTTCCAAAGGAAGACTCACTGGAAGGTAGAGAGTAAACAGTACATTTGGAAAACTAAAGGCATGGATAAAACTTTTAAAATAGTTTTTCAAATAAAAGATATAGGATGACAAAAATGAATTAACACTGTTTAAATGAATTTGAATATTGTTGATAAGAAGACCAACTTTCTGCTTTATAAAATAGGGAAGTAAAATAACCCATATGGCCTCCTCCAGGAAGGACATCTCAACCAAAGAAAAGTATCTATTCTATTCAGAAGGACCAGGGAAAAATATTTTCCTACTTTGGCATTTCCTTCTCCATCTTATCTTACAGATGAAGAAACTGAGGCAAACAGGGTCAAATGACTTGCCCAAAGTCACAAGGTCAGTAAGTGTCTGAGGCTGGATTTGAACACAAGTCCTCCTGACTCCAGGCCAGCACTCTAACCCTCTGAGCCCCTCTGCCACATAGCACATTTTGCCATTTTAGCAGTATCACGAAATAGCAGCCCTACTGCTTCCAAAGACCCAAAGATAAACATCACTCAGAGGACAATGGAAAGGTGGGTGTGAGTAGGCTATGATATGTAAACAATGAGAAACTCCAAAAAAGGACAGGATTAAACAGTAATTAATTACATGCTAAAAAAATTAACTAAACTGTGTCATCAAGGAAGAACATGGTCTGGTCAGGTGGAAGGAGCAAAGGTGAACAGAGTACTCTACTTGATAGCTTCCTGATGTTGGGAGAAATCGAGGAAAGGCTCCAGCCTGCCACGTGGATCCTCTGGGACAAACATTGGGGATGACATAAGATAAGAGCTGAGTTGCATAGGAAAGGCAGGCGTGTGGGGGTTTCAAACTATATCGTCCGAGGAATTTCCAATTGATGAATCACAGATCCAGTTGAGTAGTAAGCCCAAATAAATCATTGATAAAAATAAAACTTTTACCAAAAAAAATTTTAAAATAAAGGAAAATGTGCTCTCATCAAGTCACATTAAGAAGCTTTGCCTGCCCACGAAAATATACCCTGTGTATTTGAGGCTAGGTAGCTGCCTGCCTCACTGACCTCGGTCCTGCCATCGTCCCAACTTCTGTTCTCCTAAGGCCCAGAGCCCCAGGCCTAAGCTGGTCTAGGAGGCTGGGCACTCACCGTCCGGCTGCCCCGGGAACTAAACTTCAGATAGGCAGGGAGTTCAATGTAGGAGCCCAGCAGCGTGAGGAGGCACAGGAGAAAATCCATGATTTGCAGAGACAGGAAGGGTAAAAGATGTCGCTCCCGGTTCTAGAAAAAAAAAAAAAAGGAAAAAAAGTTTTACTGACTGCTGGCCTGCCATTCTTGAAGAACAGATGCTTTCAGTCCTCACAAGAACCCCCCCACAAGGAAGGAAGGAAGGGCAACACTTAACTGGCTGATCATGAAGGAGCCTTGGGTCCAGATAAGGGAAGGCCTCCCACCTTCTAGAAAGATCCCATGCCTCTGCATGGAACCAGTATGGAATGTGCCTGAGTACACCGGGAAGAGCACTCAGATCCCACATCAGAAACTTTCTGAGTAACTTTGGCGAAGTCACTCTGGGCCTCAGTTTCCTCACATGTAAAATGAAGGATTGGGACCAGAAGGACTTTGGGGTGTCTTCCAGCTCCCAGTGTGCCATCTTGTGATACTTACCAGCAGACCGTGGAAATGGCATGCAAAATTTGGACCACTGCTGGGCTTTTTAGGCAAGAGGGTTCAGGGAGGGATTTGGAGCCTGAATTATCCTAACGATTTCCCAGACGCCTGTGACACTGCTTACTGACTGCCTGGAGCTCTTTCAGAGCCTCTACTTCCACTTGGCAGACCTAGAACCAGCCTAGGTATCCACCCTGGTTGGGACAGAGAGCCAAGCTAGGCCTTCCTTCATCTCCAAACTCCCTGGCTTACATCATTCCTTCTTCCTCTCTCTGCTTTGCTCCCCTCCTCCACTTCCCAAAGTTGCCTCATTCTACAGAGTCAGTGTCCTTCTGCTTCTGAATCCACTTGTATCCAAACCATGATTTAAATTCCAGATCTGGAGTAAAAGGACTTAGACTTTAATCCTAGTTCTGCCCTTTGGGCACGTCTAAACCTCTCCCAGCCATGGTTCCTTCCCTCATCTGTAAAATGAAGTGGGTTGGACTAGGTGATTTCTAAGGGCCTTCTCAAGTCCGTGATCCTATGATTCTGTGAGACCACCCAAGCCTTCTAACTATTGTTCAGTCATTTTCTAAGTTGTGTCTGACTCTTCACCACCCCATTTGGTGTTTTCTGGGCAAAGAGCCTGGAGCGGTTTGTCATTTCCTTCTCCAGTTCATTTTACAGATGAGGAAACTGAGGCAACCAGGGTTAAGTGACTTGTCCAGAGTCACACAGCTAGTAAGTGTCTGAGGCCAGATTTGAGACTTTGTGACTCCTGGCCTCACACTCTATCCACTGAATCACCTAGATGCCCCAGAACCAATGTGGGCCTTCTAATACCAAACCCTAAAATGATTTTCCTTGTCCCAGGCCCAAAGACTTCATCCTTTTGGTCCCCTGGTTTCAGCCAACAATCCTGCTAGAAAGCAACTTATCTCATGGTTCCTGCTAAAGTATGAGTAATAAGTAGATTATAGGTGCTTTCCCTCTCAGAATTCTATGTGTTTGTTAACCCAAAGGAATGACTATCTAACGGTCTAATCTCAAGCAATGTGACAGATGGACAGCTTGCAATTATCTGATGGCAAGGGGAGCTGATTGTTTGATCTTTGTTCCCTGGAGACTCCCCTTTTCAGGACCTCTTTCCCCACTCACATCATTCGAGGTACGCTGTTTATAGGCTCTGTGTGTTTCCTGGGCCGCAGAGATAGTTCCTGTTTCCAGTGATGCTGAGTCAAAAGCCCCATGATGAGGCCCCACAGATGCCACAGAATACCAGCCCATTGTCAGTCGGAGCCTGAGATGGGAGCCTATCTGTTCTTCTTCTTAGAAGTCTCATGGCCAAAGAGGGGGAGCAAGTAGGGGCCTGTCTGCTGGAATAATTCAGGCCAGAAAGAAGCCTTGAGCTTGAATTCCCCTCCTTTGCCTCTGTGGCCTGTGGGCCTGAGCCCTGAGGAGGTGGGGATCAGAAGACATGGGGATATGGTCGGAGCATTACCACTAACTCACTAGGTAACCTTGGCCTAGTGGGGATAATAATCCCAGGTCACAGGGCTATTGTGAGTGATTCAATGAGATTGAATGAAAGGGCTCTAAAAATTATTGATGTTAGATATGTGTAAGGGCCTAGTGTTATTAAGATTAATGATTATGCCAGTCTTTTGATGAGTTCCCACCCTAAGCCCATGGCCAGGATGCCACTCCAGCTCATTCAAGGCCAATAAAGACAGAAAATGACTCTTAGGTCCAGTGGTACAGAGACCTTGAGAGGACTTGCTGGTGGACACTTGGTCTAGGGATATATCTCTCCTCTTATTTTTTTTTTTATTTTTTGGTGAGGCAATTGGGGTTAAGTGACTTGTCCAGAGTCACATAGCTAGTGAGTGTTATGTGTCTGAGGCTGGATTTGAACTCGGGTCCTTCTGACTCTAGGGCAGGTGCTCTGTCTAGGGCCATATCTATGCGAGCCCCCAAATAATCCATCGAAGGTTACTAGGCTTGTACTAATAGGGTGGCCACAGAGAACAGTATTCCCTCAGGAAGGTGGCCACTCCCTCACCAATGGGATGCTAAGTGGTGGTTCAGTGCTCAGATATAATGGTGGCCCCAAAAGAAGATTCCACATCAGTCCCCAAATTGTTATTTTCATGGTGCTGTGTAGACATCTCATGGTCCAGCTCTCTGCCTCTAATTGCATCCTTCGGTCTTTTCCAGAATTTGGTTCATTCATTCCCAACATGCCCCTTTCCCAATCCCACTTCTGCTACTTTGCCCAGCGTTGGCCAAGCCTGCATGCAAGAACCAGCCCCCAGGAAGTCAAGGACATTTGTGTTTGTAAGCTTTTCTGGGCCTGCTCTTCCCTCCTCAGAACCCCAGCTCCTTGGCAAGTATCTAGTGTCCCCAGAGGACATTGATGGGGACCCACCCGAGTCTGCCTGACTCCAAAATAATCCCTCCTACTCTCTTTCTTCCTCCCACAAGAACTTCCTTCTCGGTGCCTCTGCTGTAACTGCCAAGAAACTACAGCTCCCGCTAAGAAACTCACTCACACTTAGGGAGAAATGAATAACAGTTTCCTCTGCTGTCCCACCCAAGGAGGTTTGCTTTGCAATATAGAATGCACGTCTTAATTCAAAGAAATGAATTTCTAACGACAGGATTTCAAGCATTCTGGTGGGCCGGTAGAGGAGAAAATTTGGAATTAATGTGGCAAGGGAGGGTTCCCAGAAAGACACAAAGCACTTTGACAATTTCCTCATTTTGATCTTCACAACAACCACCTGAGGCAGATGAAGCAAGCATTACTTTATTCATTTTAAAGATGAGTAAAACTGAGGCTCAGAGAGAGAAAGTTATTTGACCACGGTTACAAGGAAAGTAAGGACTTGAACCCTGGTCTAGTGACTTCAGACCTGTGTTCTTTGCACTATACCAGTGCCTCTTACTCAGCTAGATGAAATAGTAAGCAGAAGCAGGAACTTGGAGGCAAGAAAGCCTAAGTTCAGATCCCACCTCAGACACTTAGGAGCTGTGTGACCCTGGGCAAGTCACTTAACCTCTGTCTGCCTCAGTTTCCTCATCTGTAAAATGTGGATAACAGCACCCATTTCCCAGGATTGTTGTGAGGATGAAATGAGGCATTACATGTAAAGGGCTTTGCAAATTTTATGTTATATAAATGCTAGATACTATAACTGTTACTTTGCACCCCATGGATGATCATCTATTGGGTGTATCTACATATCTATGCAAGCCCCCAAATAATCCATCGTGGGTCCACTCAGGTTACCAGCTCCGTACTAAGAGGTGGCCACAGAGAAGCAGATTCCCTCAGGAAGATGGCAACACACTGCCCAGTGGGATCCAAATGGTAGCTCAGTGGTTAAATATAATGACAGCCCTGAAAGACACCCAGCAGAGAATGGAGAAGGGGAGTCGTTTGTTCTTCCTACAAATCCCCCACCCCCAACAGAGAGAGGGGGGGGCGGGGAGGGAGGGAGAGAGAGAGAGGGAGAGAGAGAGAGAGAGAGAGAGAGAGAGAGAGAGAGAGAGAGAGAGAGAGAGAGGGAGAGAGACACACACAGAGAGAGAGAGAGAGAGAGAGAGAGAGAGAGAGAGAGAGAGAGAGAGGGAGAGAGACAGAGAGAGAGACAGAGAGAGAGGGAGGGAGGGAGAGAGAGACAGAGAGAGAGAGAGAGGGAGAGGGAGGGAGGGAGAGAGAGACAGAGAGGAGAGAGAGAGAGAGAGAGAGAGAGAGAGAGAGAGAGAGAGACAGAGAGACAGAGAGAGAGAGGGAGGGAGGGAGAAGAGAGAGAGACAGAGAGACAGAGAGAGAGAGAGAGAGAGAGAAGAGAGAGAGAGAGAGAGAGAGAGAGAGAGAGGGAGAGGAGAGGAGGGGGAAGAGAGGAGGGAGAGAGAGAGGAGAGAGAGAGAGGAGAGAGAGAAGAGAGAGAGAGGAGGAGGAGGGAGGAGAGAGAGAGAGAGGAGAGAGAGAGAGAAAAAGAGAGAGAGGAGAGGGAGGGAGGGAGAAGAGGAGAGGAGGAGGAGAGAGGAGGGAGGAGGAGGAGAGGGAGAGAGAGGGAGGAGGGAGGAGAGAGGGAGGAGGGAGAGAGAGGGAGGGAGGGAGGGGAGGGAGGAGAGGAGGGAGGGAGGGAGAGAGAGGAGGGAGGGGGAGAGGGAGGGAGGGAGGGAGGAGGGAGGAGAGGAGGAGGGAGGAGGAGGGAGGGAGGGAGGGAGAGAGGGAGGGAGAGGGAGGGAGGAGAGGGAGGAGGAGGGAGGGAGGAGGGAGGGAGGAGAGGAGGGAGGGAGGGAGGGAGAGGGAGGGAGGAGAGGAGGGGGGAGGAGGGAGGAGAGGGAGGGAGGGAGGAGGGAGGAGAGGGAGAGGAGAGGGAGGAGGAGGAGAGAGGAGGGAGGAGGGAGGGGAGGAGGGAGGAGAGGAGGGAGGAGAGAGAGAGGAGGAGGAGAGGGAGGAGGGAGAGAGAGAGAGAGAGAGAGAGAGAGGAGAGAGAGAGAGAGGGAGGAGAGAGAGAGAGAGAGAGAGAGAGAGAAGAGAGAGAGAGGAGGGAGGGAGGGAGAGAGAGAGACTTTCCCCCAGAATCGATGAGCCTTTGAAACCAGCATAGGCTTCTCTCCAAGTAAGCTTCGGAGCTGTCCAGCTTTGTCAGCCGGGATGCACAGGTGCTTCACGTCCACTGCTAATGGGCTGCTCCACTGGCTGCCTCTTACCTTGAGTACACCATAGAGCAAGCTCACACTGATGATAAAAAGCATGGTGATGAGCAGGAAGCTGGAGGCAATGTCCGCTGAAAACCAAGGGAAAGGACAGTGAGGGCCTTGGGGTACAGCCTCAGGGAGTGGACCTGCAGTCAGAAAACCTGGATTCCAATGAGGGCTCTGCCTCTTTCTAGCTCTGGGATCCATAGGCCAGCAATTGCTCTACTCCTCAGTTTTTTTCATGTGTCTGTAGTTTCTTCCAGTTTTAAATTTCTGTTCTGATCTGATTTGACCTGACCCAAAATAAGCAAAGTCATGGAGTAGAAAGAAATAAGAGGTCTGTTCTAGGGTTGTGTTCTAGGTTGTTACTAGCTTAATGTGTGACCTTGGGGGAGTCACTTCCTCTCTCTGGGACTCAATTTCCTCACCTGTAAAGTAAGAGATTTGGAACTGAGTCATTTTGAAGATCCCCTCTGTCTCCAACATTTTATAGAACTCTCTAACCATCAAATTTGTCCAAGTAATCAACCAGAATTTATTAAACACCTACAACGTGTCAGTCATTTCACTAGCCACTGGGCATGGAGAAACTCAGAGGAGATCACATGTAAGTATAGATGGTCTTTTCGGTCACTTTCAGTGCTAGAGCTCTAGATTCTTGGTATGTACAAGGCAGTATACTTGTATGTACATACTTGGTATGTATAGGGGCAGTGAGATGGCATCAGAAAGACCTGAATTCAAATGCAGCCTCAGATACTTAATATCTGGGTGACCCTGGGTAAGTCACTTGATCTCTGTTTGCCTCAGTTTCCTCATCTGTAAAAAGAGCCCAGGGTTGTTGTGAGGTCTCAAAAAAGATATTTGTTTTTTCAAAAAATCACTAAGCATGGTGCCTGACACATATTAGGCACTATTTAAATGGTTATTATTATTGTTATTAAATACAAGACAATTTTGGGTAGGGTAAGAGGCACTGGTAGCTGGATTTTAAAGGAAACGAGAGATTCTAAGAGTCAGAGATAAGGAGGGAGGTCACTTCAGGCAGAGAGAACAGCCATTATAAAGATCCAGAGATGGGAAGTGGAGGGCCATGGTTCAGCAGTGAAAAGGGCTGTCTTACAAATTTTCTATCCATCCCTGGAAGTGGATCACCCAGAGAGCTTGTGAATGACCACAGCTGGTATAGTCCCCTAAGATCCCAGTTCTGGTCCCAAGGACTGACTGGGCTGCCCCCCACACACACACAGCCCTAGCTCAGGTACTCCTCCTCCCTTCAGCCTCCACCCGCCTACTGAAACCACCCCCTTCCCCAGGGACATACCAATCTTGTAGTATGACATCTGCAGGATTTTGCAGTATCCTCTGCCAGTGGCCACTTCCACTGAGTGTTCAATGAAGAGCAGCACACTCATGACCTAAAGAAGGGGAAAAGAGATGGTTGGGGGAGACGAGGTCACTGAGCACCCACTTCTAGCTGGGTTGGCCTTTTAGAAGCCAGTGGTGACCGCAAATCCCCAATGTGTGGCGATGGAGCGGAGCAAGAAAAGTGAGGGCTTGGGGGAACTCCAATGGCAGCAGAGCCATGGATCAATCACCTCTGAGTCTCAGCACCCCCATCCTCACCCTCCTCTCCACCCAAGGAGTTACAGTGCCAATCACAGCCCAAAGGACAAAGAATTCAATTCAAAATGTATTAAATTGTACTTGGAATCATCCCAGCTACACCCCTTGAATCAATCAGCATTTATGAAGTACCGCTGTGGTCCACGCACTATGTTAATCAATGGAGCGCAAGTACAAAGGAGAGGCAGGTCTGTCTTTAAGGCACCTATGTTGTAGTAGAATACAACATGTCTGAGGGTAAGTAAACATAAGAGGGGTGGGTGGGTGTGGGTGTGTATGTGCTATGGGGGGAGTGGGGGTGTCAGCAACATCAGGAAAGGTCACTTGAAGTATGTGGTACTTTGAACCAATTATTTCCTACCTATGCAACCCTGGACAAGTCATCTCCCCTCTTTGAGACTCCGTTTCCTCATTTGTAAAATAATTATTTTAGTGCTGCAGGTTATCCAGCAGAAAGCTTCAGTCTCATTACAAAGGGATTGGACTGGGGGTCTTCTAAGGTTCCTTCTAGCCAAAGCCAACCTCTCACAGCTGGTCATTGTCCTGCCTGGAACTCAATGCCATCCTCCAGCAGGGGTCTCACCACAGCAGAAGAGAGTGGGGCTACGGCCTCCTTCCTCCTCAATGAGCCTCAGTTTACCTCAGTTAGATCAACTTAGTCTTTTGGGTGCTTGTGTCACAGTGATTCTTCTTCCAATTTCTTCCTCAGATCACAGCTTGTTTCTGATTTACAGGAAGTTTGCCTACTGCAGTGAAGACTTAGAATTGTAGAATACAGAATGTCAGAGCTGGGATGGGGCTTAGAACCCAGAATGTCAGGGCCTTAGAACATAGAGCATCAGAGCTGGAAAGGGCCTTGGAACACAATGTCAGAGCTGGGACGGGGCTTAGAACTCAGAATGTCAGGGCCTTAGAACATAGAGCATCAGAGCTGGAAAGGGCCTTGGAACACAATGTCAGAGCTGGGACGGGGCTTAGAACCCAGAATGTCAGGGCCTTAGAACATAGAGCATCAGAGCTCGAAAGGGCCTTGGAACACAATGTCAGAGCTGGGAAGGGGCTTAGAACACAATGTCAGAGCTGGGACGGGGCTTAAAACCCAGAACGTCAGAGCTGGAAAGGTCCTTAGAACAGAGAATGATGGAACCCAGGCTACAGAATGTTAGAACTGGAAGTCACCTAAGCACCTAGAATGTCAGAACTGTAAGAGGCCTGAGAATGCAGAATGGTAAAGCTGGAAAGGACCTTGATACTTGGAAGGTTGGCTCAGGGAGGGACCAGGAAGCTTATTTAGCCCAGCTCCCTTGTTTTGTAAATGAGGAAATGGAAGCTCAGAAAGAGGAAGAAATGCCCCCAAAGTCAGGCAGAAAGTCAGTGAGTGAGCTGGCCAAGGTGTCAGGGCCCCAAGCTCCTCCTCTAGGGAGTTGTCAACCAATAAGCATTTATGAAGTGCTTCCTGTATACCAGGCACTGTGATAAGCATTGGGAATACAAAGCCAAAGGCCCCCAAGTCTGTGACCTCCAGGAGCTTACATGATACCTGCACTGATGAGCACAGACAAGACCACTACAAGGCAGATCCAAGCAGGAAACTTGGATGGAAAGGCACTAGCGGCAGGAGAGGGAACCATGCACCTCCTTCTCCTCTTTTCACTCAGTCCCCCTACAGGGGTTGGCCCTCCAGGGAAAGCCTCTCTGCTCTGAAGCCTCTCCTCCCCAAATTGGCCTGGATTGCTCCACCAGACGAGTTAGGTCTCAGCACTGGCCTGCCCAGGACCTCTCTTTCAAACCACAGAAACATCTGAACAGAGAGAACATTTCCCTTCCTCTCAGAAAGGAGGCAGTAATCACATCACTTTCTTCCCTGTGATAAAAAGCTGGGCTAACTGAGGCGGAAGGTCAGGGTACTGAAACAGAGGAAAGGGCGATGCAGACAGAAAGGAGAAGCGAGGCTGAAAGACAAGGAGGTCACGGTTTCATCTTCTACAGCACAGAGTCCCTGACCCTTCACTAGACAATCCAGCTGTTTCTTCAAAGAAGAGAGTTCTCCAAATTCTGAAATCCTTCGTTCCAAGGTTCCTCCCTCCTCTGACATTCTGTGTCCCAGCTCTGCCATTCTGTGTTCTAAGGCCCCCCCATTCCCAGCTCTGACATTCTGTATCCTAAGGCCCCTCCCAGCTCTGCCGTTCTATGTTCTAAGGCCCCTACAAGCTCTGACATCCTGTATTCTAAGGGCCCTCCAGCTCTGACATTCTGGGTTCTAAGAGCCCTCCAGCTCTGGCATTCTGGGTTCCAAGAGTCTTTCAGCTCTGACAGTCTGGGTTCTAAGGTTCCTCTCCCCTCTGACATTCTATGTCCCACCTCTGACATTCTGTGTTCTAAGAGCTTTCCAGCTTTGACACTCTGGATTCTAAGGTTCCTCTCCCCTCCCACATTCTGTGTCCCACCTCTGATATACTGTGTTCCAAGGCCCCTCCCAGCTCTGACATTCTGGGTTCTGTCCTTACCCTGATGTTCTGTGCCCTTAACATCTTCCATCCTGTGACAGTGGCCTTGCTGATCCTCAAACCACACACTATCTGGGCATTTTCTCTGGCTGTCCCCCAGGCCTGGAATGTTCTCCCTTTTTATCTCCCCCTCCTGTCTTCCTTCAAGTCCCAGCTAAAATCCCACTTTCTACAGGGAGCTTCTTCACTGATGCCTCTTAATTCCAATGCCTTCCAGCTGGTGATTGTTGCCAGTTTATCCCCTCTCTAGCCAGATTATCCGTAGGTATTTGCATGTTGCCCCCTCCCCCATTAGACAGTGAGCATCTTGTGGGCAGGGATTGTCTTTGACCTTTCTTTGCATCCCCATCACTTAGCACAGTGACTTGCATACAGTAAGCACTTAATAAATGTGTATTGATTCACTGACTATATTACAGGGTCCCTTTCAACTCTGGCATTCTTTGTTCTAAAGACTTGGGCTCATTTAGAACCTCAAGGGAACTCAGAATGATCTCATTTTACTTGCCAGTTGGGCAAGGAGACTGGGGCGGTGTCTCCCTGGCACCAGCTGAGGCCCAAGATGCACCACCTGGCCAGTGTGAGCATCCTCTCCCTAGAAAGCTGGGTACTGGCTAGGAACAGACAGTCTTCTCTTAACTCTGCCTCTTAACTCTGCCATAACCAGGATGGAAAAGCCCACAGAGTTATCCTAAGCTTTGGCTCAGACCCCAGGCTCACCAAACCTTCTTCCATTTGCCAAGTCCCTGGAAAGTGTGAATGTTAATATTCTAGTCAGTAGAGAAGGATATAAACTCATGTGTTTGCAAAATGTTAGTGTAAGAAAGCATTTTAAAGAGCATTATATCCAAACTCCCTCATTGTACAGATAAAGAACTTGAGACCCAGAAAGGAGAAATAACTTGGCAAAGGTCACCTGAAAAGGACCTTAGAATAACCATCTTAGAATACCTAACATTTATGTGACACTTTAAAGTTTGCAAAGTAATTTACATATAGTGTCTCACTTGAGTGGATGCTATAATTATCCTCATTTTACAGATAAGGAAACTGAGGCTGAGAGAGTTTAAGTGACTTGCCCAAGGTCACAGAGGTAGTAAATATTGGAGGCCAGATTTGAACTCAGGTTTTCCTTCTTTGAAGTCCAGCACCCCATCCATTGCACTGCCTAATATCAAACGTCAAAGCTGGGCAGGGTCATAGAAATTATCTTGATCAATACCCTCATGTTGTGGAGGAGGAAATTGAAGCTTAGAAAGAAGAAGTAAGCTAGTTGTAGACCTGCCCTAGGATTCAGGTCCCCTGATCCTACTGCAGGGATATTTCTACTCATTCTAAATTAGCAAGAGAGCTGAGATTAGAACTAATGTCTCTGAACTCATAGGCCAAGATGTAGATCACTCCACTGCTGCCTCTGTCTAGAACTCACCCTTTAGGGTTCTAGAGGATCAAATGAAAATGATAATTGTAAAGCACTTGGTACAATGCTTGGCCCATGTAAGTGTTTTGTTCCCTTTCTCTGTCTTCCTCTGCCCTTACCAGTTAATCAGTCATAAATTAGTCTATTTTTTACAAACTCTTTGGAGTTTAGTCAACAGAGATTAGCTCCCCAAGGATCAATCACTCCTAAGGTCATTTCCAGAATCCTCAGACCAGAGCACTTGATGGGACCCTCTCTGATGCCACTGGGGGCTTTCTAAACAAGAGACAAAGTCTGGGCAGCTTCCATCTTTACCACCCCCATAGCACCATGGATGGCCCAAGAGCCTACTGAGGGGAGCAGATAATGGGTTCTCTGGGAAGAGAAACCTTGGACAAGGCAGGGGTGAGAGCTGGTATTCTAGAACCCTGAAGGATTGAAAAACTACAAATTCCCTGAGTTGAAAGGCACATTAGAGGTCATCAAAGACTACCTATTAGTGATCTAGAATTTATTTTATCACCTTCCTCTTAGGAACCATCCAGGTTTTTCTTGAAGATCTCTAATGGTGGGGAACTCATTACCTCCGAGGCATCTTGTTCCACTTTTGAACATCTCTGACTTGATAAGAAGTTTTTTCTTATATAGAACCCAAATCTCTTTCCGAAAGTTCTATTAATCCTCATTCTCTCAGCCACAGCTCCAGAAGACTCCTGATGAATCATGCTACACCCACCCCCCTCCCTCCATACATAAGTGATGGGTGCAGAGTGCAGATGGAAGCAGATTACTTTTTTAGACATGGCTAATGTGAGAATTTGTTTTGCCTGACTAAAAATATCTGTAACAAGTTTTGTTTTTCTTG